AGCTCAACAAGCTGATAAAAAAGACTTCTAGGAACTCTTCTAAAAGATTTCACAGAGAAGAATTATTGATTTAACGAAGAACATTATGGACAACATAGAGCATAATTTTCATCAGAGTGTTAAACAACAACAGAGTGTCTTCAGTTAAAGGCTTCTGATGACAGACAGACCAACACAGAAGATCCTTCCTCCCTACAGCTACACCAACAACAGCTAAGGAAAAAATAAAAAATAAATAAAGAAGATACACACTCTTTGGGATCAATTTTTTTTTATCGATGTTTTTAACTGACTCATAGGGATTACATGAAAGCCATACAACTGCAGCTACCGTACAGCATTGGGTGTCCTGAAATAAGTACATTTTGCTTCAGATTAATGCTTATATTATCTGGTGTCAGTAGTTTTGGATCTGCAATCATCCAACTACTTAAAAATGCAATCATTTGTTTTAATTTTTTTTAAGTCCATTTTATAATGTGGCTAAACTGACTGGCCTTGTTCTCCACAACAGCTAATATATGACAAAAAAAAGGACGTTTTCTTCAGATAAGAGGTGTTGGATCTGTTTTATTGCCAGGCTATTTCTAATCAAAAGTGAGAACTAGGGCCAGATAAATTTATGCTTGGGTGCATTTCTGTTTCTCAGGGTGCAAAAAAACTTGCACACCTCTCCAGAATGGCCTCCAACAGAGTCAAAATTTGCAACAACTCTAATGAGAATTAGCAAGACATTTCAGAAGTTTCTACTTATAGTCTCCCTGTAAAAATGAGACAATTAAAAACATCTTATAAATAAAATAATTTCTGCATCATGAAGACTGAATTATTCAGCTCACATGGCAAGTCTGCTTGGTGGTTGATAGAAGTAGTTTTTAGTAGTGAGTAACCCATTGTTAGTAAGAGAAAATAAAGTCAAAGTTGTTGCTTCAAGCCCTTTGGCTTTGCCGGCATGTTGAAAGAGTCAATGACCTTCAAAGACTTCAGCCCAAGAATGCCACAGAATTAGTAGAAGTAGTCCTAAAAATGTCTGTGTAAACTGTTTGCATATTGTGAATAGATAATCCAAGAAGAAGTTCATGTAACACAGGCTATGTTTCACCCATTTGATCAATCATCTCTGAACAAATGAGTTTATTTTATTATACAATACAGTGAGACACATTCAAAAAAGTAGTTCTTAAAAACGCAAAGTGCAAAGAAGGACAGCAAGGAAACATCTCAGGTTACGTAATAAACGCCAATAATCCAATCACGTGCCATGAAGCTCCATTAAATCTCATATATTCTTATAACAAAATGTAAATCATAACTCCTGTTCTGTTGTGAATGATTTAATGCTTTGTAGGCTGGATCTTCTCTTTACTTCTTAAGCTGATAAGAATGGTAACAAAAGTAAAGTGGCAAAGATATTACAAGTAGAACATCTCTAGTTTGAGTAGGTTTACAAATCATATTTACGGCATGTAGTATACTGACCTATGTTTAGCTTGCAACCTGTTTTCTTTGGTGCTCAGCTGACAAAAATAATACATTCATAAATGGACTCCATTGCCTCTTACAGAACTAAAGAATAAATATAAATGTGGCATGTAACTAAGGTGCTCCATAGCTAGAATCATAGGGCAAGGAATGGTGTTAGATAACACTTCTTTTACCTCCATCCAGGGACTTCTGTGGTGCTACTAGTTTTATTAAAAGATCCAGTGGAATACATTGGGATTCAGGTCTGCAATTTATTCACCTCTCTGGAAGCATCAGAATCTTTTTCCTGTGAATGAGTCTTCTTGTCTTCATGTTCAGCCTTCCTGGGTATCCTGGGGCTACCGGCAGCTTTCCTTGTGGTTTGTGGGCTGGAAGAACCGATAACCTTCTTTCGCTGCAGTAAGGGGCTCTTGGAGCCCTTTGCTCTTGCCGGCATGCTTAATGAGTCAATGACCTTCAAAGACTTTAGCCCAAGCAGGCCACAGAAGTAGTTGCACCTATGCTGCAGAACAAACTGATCAAATACCTTGGGATTCCCATCAATAGATAAACCCAGGTATCTGCAGCAACAAACAGAAAACAGAAGTGCTACAGTAATTACACGTGTAAAATGCAAATTACCTGTAAAACGAGCTTCTCAGAGAATCATTTTCAAAAACATTACACGCATGTATTTACCCTGTTGTTTTGACTGAAACGTTGACATTTGTGATCTTGGTGTCGACACCTGCAAAATGAAAACAAGCAGATGCTTTATTTTTTTTTTCTGTTGTTTGGTATGCATGTTCACATGTGACTGATATGCCGAGGGAAATACAGCTGCCCAACATGATAGCAGGAAAAGAGAAAAATAACACATTCTATTTAAAAACTGTGCATTTACTATCTCTCTACAGTGAGTGTTTAAAAACAAACCATTAGCAATTTTGAAATCTGCTCTCAAAAATGTCACCTTTGTATTTTAATAGAAAAAAAAGAACAATTGGTTTAACCAATGTATGCAAAATTCCACTTCTAATTGACCAATATGAGAACACCACATGTGATTCCTGTCTGATAGGGGCAAAAAACCGAGAATTCAGTCTCATCAATGTTGGATTATACAAGATTGGAGAAATATTACTAATTTGATGATTCGGTTTTAGCAGCAACATGTAGGGTCAAACTTCAGGATAAAAAAAATGAAAGCAGGGATGGTTCCACCCAGTGGGGAGGCGTCAGGATGGCCTCCATGCCCCCACTTAACGGCTCAGCCTCATCTTATATTCAGTCCCAGTAGACATTTGGCAGGATCTAACTGCGCTGAGAGGTTTCTTGAGCTCTGATCTGTTTCTGGGTCAGATTAATAAAATGTTTGTGCCTCTCAAAACCAAATGGGACATGCAAAAACAACCGCAGTGCAGTTAACTAACATGCACAGTGAGGTCAGAGGTGCAAAATAACACCCTCTGCCTAGGAACAGGTTTAGATTGATAAATATACAATAGTAGGAGTGTCAGTTCAAAGTTGGCAAATTCTGGCATCAGTGAAAGCAAATGTGTTTATCTAACACATGCAGTATATTTTAAAAAGCTGCTACTCAGTATTTGTTGGTTAGCATTATGCCCATCAGAAAGACAGCTGAAGTTTGTTAAAGCATAGATGATAGAAATAATCATGTGGAAAAGAACATCTTTGTAAAGAGAGAAGTTAAAAAAAAACAATCTGTACTTCTCACGATAGCATGACTTGGAGCCACTGTTCATAGCTGGATCCTTCCAAGGAAATGTGGTGGCCCCTTAACTGTTTCTATTTTTTGAAAGCAATGTTACTCAGAAATGGCCTTCATCTCACCTTTCTAAACGCCCAGGATGCACACAATTCTGTTGAATGAATTCAGCCAAAAAAACCTGCAGCAACTGCTTGATAACTTTATGCTAATATGGACCAAAATCTAGGATAAATTCTCAGGGACAGATTTCTGGTTATATTCCACCAATAGCATGGGAAACAAAAAAACAAAAAAAAAGTCAAAACAAGTATAAGCAAGGTTTGCCTAGGTGCCTAGGCCAGGGGTGTACATAAAACTCATCAATACACAATTGACAAGGAGTGCCAGCTCACCTTCCAAACGAGTGATTAGGAAATTTCCAGAAGTCCACTGAAATATCCAGTGCTGCAAGGCACAGCACTTTAGTTCAACCTCAGAACCAGTCCTCACATCTGTTCTCCCTGTATTATCCAGAGCAGAGTATTTCTTATAAACTCCGATCAGATCAGTTTCCACTGTGGCGTAGGGGATGGGGTTTGCAGGTCTGTACATTAAATACAATGGAATGACCCTGTAAAGTAAATGAGGTCAGAGTAAGTCGGAAAGTTTAAAGGCACCTGCTATATAAGGGGATACCATGTTCTTGAAACAAAAATTGATGTTGCCTACTCCAGGGTGGGTCCAAAGTTTTCTATGATCCTCGCCTCCGCAGCGAAGATTTTGCAGTATTCCCGTGCCAAGTTCTGAATTCTACATTCCTGTATGAAAAATATTGGATCACATCCAGTTAAATATCTGCTCAACCATTATATTTATTTAAGGTTAAGTAGATTAGAATCACAGTAATCCTGCGTGGGTGGCAGACACGACACCTGGCTTCCTTTAGTGTTGAATTTCCTGGTATACTGGGTGACGATTTTAAATCTAAGATAAGAATAACTCACAAAATTAGACCTTTGCAAATACCTGTTTTATGAGGTGCAGGTTTCTTTCTATGAGAGAGCTTTCCACCTTGCCTCCATAGATGACGGGGCTGCGTACTTTAATTATACATGTGTTACCAGAATCAAAAACAGGCTCTAGACCGTAAATGACTTTGGCTCTCCAGACTTTATGGGAACATCCATCTCCGATGCGTGATTCTGTGATCATAATACGTCCAAAGAATTTGTTGCCCCAGACACCAGAATCAGCCAGCCCCTTGTTAAATATGAGGGGGGTCATTTCAATTTCCTCCCCAACTGCATAAACAATAATATGCAGAGAACAGTTAGAAGAAAAAAAATCAAAGAAAAATTATCTAAGCCAATTATTGAAATCTGATCTCACCACCAAGGTCCTCACGCAGAGACATTCCGGCCAAGACTGCAAAACAACAGCGGTAAAACTGATTAACCATATGTAGCGAAATAATAGGTCCAACATAGAAATAGTTTTATAGTTTACATACTATCAGCGCTAAGTAGAAAGTCTGTGGAGTCCGAGCCATATTCATTGGTTATTGTGCATCCGTAAACTCCTGAATCTTTGCATGATGCTTGAACAATAGCGAGATTGACTTGGGTTTCATCCCCTGCACTGGAAAACAAATTTTAAAAAACAGCTATATTTTCTAAAGCATTTGAAACAGAATAATATTAAACATATTGTGATAAACATACCTTTTCGTAACTTGAGCAATCTCCTCCTCATTTTTGTGCCACTTGATGTTGGAGTCGCTAAGAACATTGAAGAACTGGCACCACAGTTTCAAGTGTCCTGAGCCATCAGCAAAGGTTTCACCTCTGATCTTACGGATAACCTGAGGAGCTGGAAAGACATGTAACACAGAGCAGCCCCTTAGGTTTTGTTTTTACATGGATACACTTCGGGCTAGTTTAAAGCTGCTGATCAGTATAAAACGGGAGAGAGACGGGATACTTGCATGTTTCTGAGCAGTAAACTGGAGCCCACTGACAAAACTTCTACATGCTTCATTACTCTTCTTCATTACTAAGCTCCACACTACCACACATACTATGTTTAAACAGTTTTAAACCAAATATTGCTTAAAACATATGTATTTATTGAAAGATTGGGCCTCGTGGTTGGAAAGCAGGGTGTTTAAGTTTTGGAACTGAATCATTCTGGGCCCCTTAGTGAGACCCTTCCCCAGAATGCTCCCAGTGGGCTATTAAGCTTTGCAGTTCACAGCTCCCAAAGGGATGGGATAAACGTAGAAGACATTTACCCATTGTGACAACAAAAAAGGATTTTTTTTTTCATGCTGTTGTGTATTTATTGCTATGCCAATATGAAAAGAAAGGTTTAAAAAGCAGAAGTTTTACAATCTTTCAGTCAACTTTGCATAAGAATGCATTTGCGGCTATGTCAACATAATCTCATGAGCAAATATGTAGAAGCTGAAAGAGCATGGAAGCTGGTTACTTTAAAATTGTAAATTAAGAGAAAAGGAAATTGAGTTTATGTTTTTTTTTTTTTACTTAAAGCATAATTACTCTAACTATGGTAAAAACAAAAACAAAAAAACAAGAAATAACAACTAGCAACTAGTTTACCTGCTTTCCTTTAAACTAACCAACAGTATTTAGGTGTTTCACTACAGTTTTTTATTTATTTATTGTTTTCTTGATCTTGAAAGTTCCCTTTTCTGATTTTAACTGTCATGGGAGTTTGCTGTCAGTCTTGTGTGGCAAAGTTGCATTAAAAAGTAGAAAAGTTGCATTGATCGGGTGCTAGCTGCAGCTCTCTCTTCTCTCTTGTAAGGAAGATCACTTTAACTGTATTAGCACTACCTAAAGGATGTGAGTGAGACAGTCAGAATCTTTTGTTAAATGTGATTTGATCAAAATTCAGTGCATCTATGATTTTTAAATTGTGTTTTATTAAAAATGAGATTAGATTGCAAATGTAAATAATTCTCTACCCCTGCTATAAAAGGAAATCTCACCGGGATTTGAGTAGAAGGGTTTATTCAATGTTTTTAACCTTTGAGTAAGGAAAATGCAAGTAAAACTGATCAAACATGACATATTTTGTATGTGGGCTCATGCAAAATTAAGCAAATTAATTTTAGTATCGAGGGTGAATAAATGGAGAAAAGTAGAAAAATAAGGACTCTTAATGGGGGTGTTTACTGAGGTGTGAGCAAATTTGTTCCTGCTACACCTGTGGTTACTGCTGCTTGTTCAGGATCAAATGTTTTACTCAAAGCCTGTTAAACAGCATTATGTCAGATACATTTTTATCACTTAGTGTAAAGAGTATTGAAATGTTTTTTCCAAAAGCAAAATTTACATTTGCGTCTCAGTGAAAATATCGATCTAGATTAATCTTAGCCAGTATCCTCTTTTCCATTAGGTCAACTTGTTTTGTAGAAGCATTAAAAAAAATAGTTTTACCTTTAAATGGGTTATGTTTGTCCTTCTCTGCAGATGTCCCCTCAGGTTGGATCTTCTCAGTGAGTGGCTTGCTTTGTGTTTGAGTTTCAGAGGCAATCTTCCTTCTGGTCAAAAGTGGAGAATGCCTTTTGACCACAGATGTTTGCTCTTCAGCAGGCTGGAGTAATGCTGACCGTCGAGATAGGCTTGGAGACATTGTGCTGGTATGTACAGATATCTCTTTTTTCTGGGTTTGGCTATTTGAGGGGGATGTTGACTCTTGAGCTTCCACTGTTTTTGCATTAGAGGCTGTGATTTTACGACGTGCCCCAGAGGCTAGTTCTTGTGGAGTAGCAGAAGGGATTTCTGAAACAACGTCAGTGTTCTTAATCAGGGGACTGGATTCTGGAGTTAAACTGTTAAAGGGGTCAGGCCGCGAACCTTCCTTAATGACCGAGCTCTCCTCTCTAAGAAGAATATCCTTCACTTGTATATTTGTTTTAGATTCACGGTCAGACTGAAGATACGTTTGCAGTTTCTGTGTGGAATTAATTGGAGGCTCCTCCATCTTGTGTTGCTCCAAAACTGTAATCCCCACTTCCAATTTATTGTTCAGGTTTAGTTGTGGGACGGGAGACATCATTTTGGGACCTTGGACAGTTCCATCTTTAGAGTTCTCCATAGTATTACTCTGTACAGCTTGAGGATTATTTTCAGCATTCGCTTTTGACCTGGATTCCAGAGGACTGGTTACAGGTGGATTTGAAATTGACTGAATTTCCTTAATAAATCCATTTTCTGAAGGTAAAGAATGTGGATTTTCATTAACATTAGATTTATCTGTAAATGAAACCACAGTTTCCCGACTGGTGTCCATAACATCTTCAACTTTCCGACATGGCAGGGTTATGTCTGTTGCTGTATCATTCACACTGAAATAGATAGAAGGGAGCACAACATCTTGGTGTGAAGGTCGAGCAGTTTTTGAAGTTTCATCTGAGGTCAGATTTTGTTCCTGTTCCCTTTCATTTAGTTCCTGATACACTTTCATGAGTGTTTCCTTTAGGCTTGAGTGGGGTGCTCCACCAATAATTTCCTCAGTTTCAGTCTTAGTCTTGAATGTCTTCTTATCTGATTTATTTATTTTTGCTCCATTTCTTGCTTCCTGACCCACTCCTTTAGCATTTATCATAGAATCAGGTTTTGAGTTGGAGAAGGCAGACATAGTAGAGACTGGATTGCTCTGTGCTAACTCAAGAGCCTTTATTTGAGATCTTAACATTTCAGCAACAGATATTACTTTAGATTCACGTTTGGGGATTTTTCTGAATGTTATGTTGCCATTAGGTGCTTCTGTCTTTTCTAGGGTTTGTTTTTGTGTCTCAAGTGGACCTGACTTAAATTCCTTATGGTGTAAATGAGTGTTTTCCACCACTTTTAATGTGGATTGATTCTTCTTAGTTTCAACAATTGGATATTGTGTAGATTTTGCTTCAGAGTCTTTTTTTCCTTCATCTTTGGTCTTTTCTGACTGATTTTGGCCATGAAGGCCAGAGGTTTCAGCCTCCATTTCCAGTATCTTCACACTTGACTTCCCATTGACAGCTTGAACAGCTACTTTATGTATTTCACCAATCTCTATCTTCTCATCTTGTATTTTTGTCCCCTCAAATGTTTTTATAGCTGTATTTATCTGGCTTTGCTGGGTGACAGACAGAACATTACAGTCCATGATGCTATCTCCATGACCAGGGATTCTGTGTGCTGACTTCTGAGGGTGAGTAAAAATGGCTGTGCAGCCTCCATTTGGTTTCCTGGAATCGGACGATGTATCCTGTGTTATTCCATCAGGGCTTGGGTGAGGACCGCCGGACAAAGGAGAGGTGAGGATGTGATCTGTCTTTTGTGGCAGCTCTGGGTTTATGTTGTGTTGGTTGAGTGGTAGCTTAAGGCCGACAGGTGCATCATTCCCGTTCATGACTCCGTCAGCCTCTGTAACCTTGGGATATAATGCAAGCCGTAAATACTTATTCCCTTATCCCCGGCTTTGCTTGACATGAATAAACACATGCAATAGTTAAAACAGCCACACAGCAACCAATGAATGATGATTGCAAACCAGTAACATGTAAGGCAAATAATTTGATTATAATCCAGCAAAAATGGAGCGGTGAATTTATTATAATATTGAAGAAACAATAAGATTGAAGTTAATATTCAATTTGTAGGGAAAGTTTAAAAAGCACTAAGTTTAGCTTCACTGATGCAATCAAACTTTCAATGAAGCATTGTAACTAAGATATTCTGGAGAATTAACCGTTCATCATGAACCTGTTTTGTTTTCATTTGTATTTTTCAATTAGGTTTCTGGATAATAATAAACAAATATATATATATATATATATATATATATATATATATATATATATATATATATATATATATATATATTAACAGAACTGAGAAAAATAATTATGTTATTCTTTTATTTGTTTCTTTTAGTGTCAGTAAATCATGAAGGGATCAAAAATTTGTAATAAAATTGACAAGATTTGTATCCATAATTAAATATTTTTTCTGCATTTAAATCAGATTATTGAGAATATTCTTCCACTCCTGTTTAGACATCCAGAAGCCTATTTAAAAAGAAAGTTGCTATTTTAAATATAAGGTTGCCACAAAAGAATGTGAAATATTTTAAGCAGTTTTCTTGCCATGCAGTGTTTTGTCTCAGCTCACAATCCTTACGTAGATGAGGCTGAGGTGATTGCATAAGCAGTGTGTCATAAAAAATAAAAGGAATGGTGCAAATTAAACAAAGATCAATTACGACCAACAATGCTGAGAAACTCTGTGCTTCACTCATATGGCTTGCATTTATCAGTTGTTTTTGGATGCATTTGTTTTGGATATCATGTGTTCTTGGATGCATTTATCCAACAGCAACCAGCAAGCTAACAGGACGTGAAAGAGAAGTATCATTTTTTCATTTTTACATGCTTGAAAAAAGCGTTTTATTATCATAATTTTAAAAAAAATCTTATATATTTAATGAATTATTAAAACTGCATTCTTAAAATTTTTACAAAGTCAGTAAAGCTTTTTATAATTTTTTTATAAAATTAATGAAGGAGTACATGAAACATTAGAATTTTAAAATGTGTTACAGTATATGAAGGTCGGGATTTTAACATTTCTATCATTTGAAGTATAATTCCATATTTCTAGGATTTAAAAAAAAGCACAAAAAACAACCATCACACCATGTTTTGCATCAATTCCACAAGTGCTCTATCTGTTAACATGTGCGTCATTTAATGCTTGTTACCCAGAACCGGGCATGCTTGTAAAAAGCTATTAATATCTTCAGGATGCTTGTGATGGGGCCTGTGCTGGCAGCATAAATCCCATATGATCTCATGTGAAAATGTTAACTCACCTCACTTGGCACTGCTGGTCGAGACGCAGACTCCTTTTTTTGGCAGAGGCTTGTCTCTTTCTCAGACAGCAGACTTTCACCCCGTCCATATGAACATTGAGGGGAGACATCCATTACGTTACATGATGTGTCCAGCTGCTTACTGCAACCAGATCCATCCAATAATGTGTTTGACTTAACTTCAATATCCAATGCTCTAACATGCTCTGCTTTATCAATGTCCTCTTTCTTTATGCTTAGAAGTCTTAATTTATTGCACGACTCGTTTTGTGCAGGCATCACATGAGGAACTTGGTTCTGTCTCTCCAAACACTTTTCTGTATCTTTGTAACTGCCTTCATTTTTGTGATTGGCTATTTTCTTGCCCTCCTTTTCGAACATAGACTTAGGAGATGTAGCAGCAGAGGACTCTGATGTAGTGAGATTGTCTCTTTGTGAAGACACAGTCCTTTTATGAAATATGTTTTCATCCTTTGACTGATTTTTAACAAACATGGCCTCCTCTTTTGCTAATTGTCCACATTCCCCCTTTATTTTTTTGGAATAAGCATTTGAAAGTGATGAATCCGAAACATTTTCCACTTCCATGATCTCTTCTGGATTCCCATTGGTTTGTATATTATTTGCACAGACTGGAGATACAAAAGAATTGTGGTTTTTGATTGTATTCCTTTCTCCAGCCTTTTCTGGTTTTGGATGTGTTGTATTGTTGGATATTTTAATCTTCTTCATAACAAAAGGGGATTTTGGTTGATGAGAGGAAAATGTCTTATGATCAGGATCATAGGTGTATGTCCTACTCTTGTTTTCAGGGTCACTGTTTATTTGTCCATTGAGCTCAGCAGACGTCGTTTCCTTTGTGTCTGGGGCCTGAGTTTTATAGACCTCTTCTACGGTTCCCTCATGCAACCTACATTCAGTCTGTAGACCTTCTGCCTCATTGCTTTCATCCTCAATGGAGTTGGGCGTGCTGACAAAGGCCTCCATTGTTGAGCGGCGTTTCCTCTGTGTTCGGTCAGGACTGATGGTTCGCAGTGGCTCCAGGTTTTCTTTTCCTTGTGTTTCCCTGCATTTGTTTTCAGCCTTCTGTTTCAGCTTGGCAAAGTAACGCTGATGGATCTTGAACTCGTTCATTTCGCCAACCTCAAGGACCCCGGAGCAGGACACAATTCCTTTACTGTTGGTGGCAGAAGCTTGGTAGATTGCAGCGTCGTCCACAGTGCAACTGTGGATTTTATAAAATCACATGAAATTGTATTATTATTAACAATGGTAGACATTAATTAACTGTGTTTGCGTCTGTAAGCTTTCATTTAAGCGGTGTCATTTCATTGCCAATGTGAAAAAGAATTTGGAGTATTTAATTTGGATTGGATGGTATTAGAAGCTTTAAAAAGGGCTGGTGACCTGTTCAGGGTGCACCCCGCCTCTCGCCCACTGACTACTGGAGATAGGCACCAGCAGCCCTCGTGACCCCACTCGGGACAAGCGTGTCAGATAATGGATGGATGGATGGATAAATGAACAATATATTATTTATTTACAAATTGCAACAAAAATAAATGAATAATGGTTCCATGTAAGGTGCAGTGTATTGGAGCTTCGATATCCAATATTAAATCAACAATATTCGATTCAGTTATTATTGAATATTGGAGTTGATATTAGATCCTGAAATTGGATCAGTGCATCTCTACATGAAACAGCAACAAATATAACAAATGGGTTGTTAAAATGAATGGCTGTCAATATTCATCACCCTATCATTCGATCTCACTGATCAGAAAAACTTTCACTTTGATTTGTTTTAAACTGCTTCAGTCACCAAACACAAACGGGACACATCTGATTAGTTGTTACCTTCCACAACTCGGAAAAGTGGATTTAAATTTTAATCAAGCTGATGGGGATATGATACCTATCACAACTACAAGAACTATTACTGCTTATAAAAACTAAGCAGGATTAGTTAGTTTACTGATTCTCCAGTTTACGTTGCTACATCCTGCAGCCCCATCACAGCAGCCTCCATGTCCCAAGTCTTGTGCCGTAAACCATGGTAATAATTTTGGACACCAACTTCCAAGCTTTACTGTACATTAACCCAGCCCATTGGTTTAATAAGATGAATGTGTTCTGCAGCTGTCTTTGTAACACCTCCCTTAAGACAGTATCAAAAGACATTCCTACAGAGGTGTGCCTTTGCCCCCCACAGTGCTTTGAGGACAAAGCAACTGTCTCTGGCCTCCTTTCTCTTTGGGGACTGCTCTCTGGCCAGTTCTCATCAGAGAGACACCATTATGGCCCCATGTCCAGGGAGCAGAAGCTGTAAAATGACCAGAGGCAAAGTGGACCTGATAGCTGACATCAGAACCAAATTACTAAAAAAAAAAACCAGATTCTGCAACATTTCTCTGAGTTTTAGGACTTTCAGATGCTTAGAAGAGGTTGTAGGTAAAAACGCCCTGATGTGTGGCCTGCTGCCAAACGCTGGAGAAAAACTCAAGCCTTCCAATTTAAGATACAGAGGTAGAGGTCTGGCACAGATGTCAGAGTTTCTAGTTAGATAATATTTTTCTTTGATTATTTCGGTTCATTTTATGTTTTTATTGTTGGGTAAAGACAAGATAAGGTACACCATGCTAACATGTTTGAGCTGTTGTTTGTAAAGCTGCAACAAGCTTTCTTTGACTAATGTAAAGATTATTAAACATGATATAACGTTAACGTTCATGTATCTCTTCATATGCTCATTACATTTTGATGACCAAATTATGAAGTTATTGAATGGGAATCCTCTTGTTGGCTAGCTTATAGGACAATCAAAGGTTAATAATCAAGCAACTAATGGTAACTTCAAATTAGGCAAATTATTTAATAAAACACTATTTTCCAAATAATGTTTTATTCACCTCTTGGAATTGCATTGTGAACTGGTTTGCACACATTCCAATTGGCCTAAATTATCAAAAAACCAGTTTGACCACATTCCAAATTCTTCTAGATAAACTTTGGTTCTCAATCATAAAATCCTTAATGCTAAACTGTGATTGAATATCTTTATAGAATATGCTGTTTTTACTTCTTCACTGTGTACAGTACATACGTAGTAAGAACATAGTTGAGTTTCGCTGGTTTAGTCACTAGTTTTTAGTCAAAAGTTTTTTACTGAAAACGTTTGAGTTGAAGCTGAAAATTTTTGTTAATAAACTGTTATATTTTGAATGAAAGTTGTTGTCATTTTACTATATATATATATATATGTGTGCACAGTTATCTGTTTGACCATGATTTGAGCTCGATTCACACTTTCCTTTGCTGTTTTAACACACAGCCAGTAGGGTGTGTGTTTATAAACAATATATGGCATTCTGAATATTATCTGATTTAATAAAAATATTGATGCTCCTTACTGCAATGGACAATAAATATATTGCAGTTGCACAACACAAGGTAATGTATGGACTTTGATTTGTGTCTTTATGTTTAATTTAGAAAAAAAGAGGATGGTAATTTTCAATTATATGCCCCTTAACTTAAAACTTGTATTTAAATAAATAGTTTCCTTAAGTTTAATTTATTTTTTTTTATTAAAAAAAGAAAATTAAAACAAATAGTCAATTTCAGTCATTTTTATCCACATTTTGTATTAAAAAGTCATTGTGGTTCTTATACACCTGTATAGTTGCTCCATAATTGTAATTCCTAAATGTAAATGTTAAACACAGTTTTGACCTGAGCAGTATTCTAAGCAAGTGCTGTCTGGTATTCAATAGAGTTTCTGAATGCAATTACTTATGAATATGCAGGGAATGATTTTGTCCATTGTGGAATATTTCGTATTTTGGCAGCCCACAGAATCTATCCAGCTGTTTGTCATCCTTATACCAGGTAACTTGTGGGACAGGGTGTCCTGAGAAAAAGAGACAAAAGACACATTACATTTTATTACTTTCTGAATAGATATGAATTCATTTTTCTATTCGTGTGAATTCAATGTGTATTACTCAGCCTGGTATTACATCTTATGACTGTTCCTTTACATCACAAGCATCTGAAACCCTATCTGTGCAGTCTGTTTACCTGTAACCACACAGGTGAACTTTACATTGCAGTTTTCAGACACAGCCTTGGATTTCAAAGTAGTCACAAAGGACGGCTGCATTTCTTCTGCTAACTGTGCCATTATACTGCAGAATGTGCTCCTGTGTAAGAAATGGGAAATGGCTCAGTAATTATGTTTCCATATTTGTTTTCAGAGCTAAAAGTAATGCCTAGACAATTAGACCAAATCACAAACGTTCAAACCCATTAATGTCAAATCAGAGGAATGCAAACCTGAAATTACACTTCAAAGTGTCTCATCAGGATCTCATTAATTCACATTGTTTTTATCAAATTCAAAACAGGTCATAGACACCGTTTGATTATAATATTTTTTGCAATATCCCTAAAAGACGTGTAAATGTCACTAATGTGACATGCTGATTATTTCAGATAAAGGACAATAAAGATTCTCTTTGCAAGGAGGAAAATGAGGAAGCAAAAATATTTAGCTGAAGAGCAGATTTCTTTTTTGTATCTGTTTGATTATATAGCAGATGTTTGAAAAGTTTACAATCCTAACAGCCATTTTTGCTTTCAGTCAATCAAGCGAAATAAAACTACAAAATTTTGAAAAACAACATGATTTCTTATCAAAATCTATTTGTTATCTATTAAAATCCATAATTTTTCTTTTCATTGTTCAGATTTGAATAAAGGAAAAAACATGAAACTACTGTGAATAGAGAATTGACATTTTTATTTTTACGCTAAGGAATTGTGATATCTGTGTAAAATAATGCAAGTATAATGCAGATAAAAAACAATAAAAGACAAATAGATCTAAAATAAAATGACTGGTACTTCAAGTGTCCTTCTGTTGTTGAAACTCCCCAATCTACTAAACCCTTAATGGTATTTAAAGTAACACAAGTTGATTCTTTATCATCTGTAGACAAAATAGTTAAGAGGTATTCTAGAAATTCTTAAGAGACACTTCCAGCTCTGGAACAGCAGGTTGCAGATCTGTTCTGTGTGTTTGTTTTTTGCTGTAGGGTTGCTCAAGCAGCTGCCATCAGGCAAGAGGTTAGCCTGAGGTGAGTTTTTACTAGTCCAACCCAGAGTAAAACAAATTTCCCCATTGAATACCCCTTCCAGATTTACCTTAAACAAAGTTACATCTAAATCAATCCAAATATGATTGAACATTTTTTCAGTAATGCAGTTTAAAAAGGAAATATTATTGATAATAAAGACTCAGTACATACCAATTGATATTTAAAGTTCTCTCTTCAGTTGTTTTAAAATACTATAGGTAACAACTAATAATAAAAATAAAAAAACACACACAGATTGATGAAGTAAGTCCTGCAAATGGTACCCTACATATTAAGTATAGATAGCGCTCGTTATATGGATATGCTTTTCTAAAGCCCTTATTTATTAATATAAATCTATTAATATAATCTAATATTGTTGTTTTCTGAGGATTGAATATAAAATATTTTAGAAGTTGTAGGACGTAATGATAAAGGTAATTACGAATAATTACTTGAAACATATCACTGCATGTTTAATGCACTTCCAGGATAAATGTTTCACTTTTTATGTAAATAACCGAAATGATTCTGCTGTTTAAGAAAATCATCATTTAGATGTAACTAAGGTGTAGTAGTTGTTTTTATGATTGTGTCAGGAAATAAGAGTCATAACCTAAGCATAGGTACAATGTATAAACTCTTCATGGAAAAAAATACATCCATGCTTTTCTTACAGGTGGATAGAAATTGATACTTAGACATCTCTCTACCTTATATACTTACAGAAAGGAATAATTATTCATAGCAAGCATTATATGTGAAATATATCTTTATATTACTTTCTGTGACAGATCATTTGAATGGCATTAATAGCTAAACATAAAATATAACTGATCTATTTAATGTTGCTAAGAGGACATAGAGAAGGTGGGTCTAATACATTAAATATACAAATGAAAGTCTGTATATTTTTATATTTGCTTTCAAAATAAACATGAAGCATTGCCTAAATAGAAAAAAAATGTTAGTCTAAGAAGAGGGCTGAACATGTATCTTAATGTTTTCATTGGAACTAGTGAAATGAAATGAAAGTGCATAGTAGTAATGGAAGTGTTTTTTTTTTTTTTTTTTTCAAAATTAATATTTTTCCAAAGCTCTCTTTTAACAATAAAAAATATAAAGTAATTCTCAAAAATCAAACATTTTCCAATGCTGAAGTTATTGCAAATTATGATATTATAATACATAACTGAGATCCTGATCTTAATATCAGTCTTATTTAAGCTATATGTAACCATAGCAACAAACACAAAGGTAAACACACAAATGGAAAATCCTGAATTTTGGATGCATTAGCCAATCTAAACAGAAATAGTTTAGTCAGACATCATTGTGAGTTTTCCAAAAATCTTTACCTGTTTTCTGGCCTCAGGTTGGAGAGGTAGCTGAAGCTACTGGACCGACTTCGCCCTCTAACATCGTTCCCATTGCTAGACCTTCCATTTCCAAAAGAGTAACATACCATCGTCCTCCTTGAACCCATTGCTTTTTCAAAAATATGATGGTAAAAAAATGAATCTCTGAGGAAAGGTTTTGTAGTTTAATCCCCCAGCTTGCAGCTTCCCATAAAAATCACCGCAACCTTTTAAAAGATGAAAGAAAGTAGAACAAAGTAAACATGACAAATGTTAGCTCTTGGAGTTCACTATGTTTTAACAACTGGAAAAAAAATTGTTTTTTCAGTCATCTTCTGTTTAAAAAAACGATCGTCCTCACTACATGTTCAATGAAGTAATACCATATCTGCTCCACACACATTGCTTATTTTGTTCCTATCACTGAAGATTTAGTTGTAATATTATTTAGAAACTCACCATTCAGAAATGTCATTCCCTCCCATGACAGATACTCCACTGACTTAAGGCGCTGTAATTTCCAATCAAACAGGAGCATGCGTAGCCTTCTGCACTATTTATAGTCGGCCTGCAAATAGGCACAAGAGCAGAACACACTTGGCCAAATCTTGGTCAACGACAGATAAATCAGGGACTATAATTACATAGAAATTCTTGCATTTAAAGTTCAACGCACCCCAAAAAAGTCTGACCTTTCACAAACATTATGGGTGTCATCAATTAAATACTTTGAGATCCTAATTTGACAGTGCCTGAAGGAGAAGGACAGGATTGAAAACATGAAAAACCGCCTTTTCCTCTCGTTTTCCAATGCCAGTGCATGTATTCTACTCAGAGAAGAGGGAAACTCTTTCCTTATAGTCCTTAGGCACTAACGCGCTGTGTTTGTAGTAAACAATAAAAACATACATATATATATTTGAACTTCTTTAAATTAAAGTGAGAATCTCAGTCATTTATTTTGTACAAGTTCAAATAAATATATATATATTTTTTTTTACCATAAACAGCACTGGAAAGAGAGAGAGCCTACCATGTTTCGTAGCTTGCATTGTCCAGGGGATGACAATTGTACTGGGTTCCCAGAGGAAAAGCAGCAGAAATAGAACAGCCTTATATAGACAGATGCCACTGCCAAAAAAGCTAAGTGCTCTTATCTTTATACAAGCATGCAAACCCCCACCCCCCTACACACAGAATACATATCATTATTAAGAGTTATGTGCTTTCTATAGACCTCTGTGTGTCACGTGAAGCACACAAACAGATACACAAAAAATGATATATGTTATATAATATTATATTATGTTATATTATATTTCTGTCCTACATTATAAACAGTCTTTAAACTACAACAACATCAGTTACTGACTGACCCTCTGACTTATGGCTTCAAGAGCTGTCTGCCTATCAAGTTTAAAGATATCCGTCCGATTCTACTCATCAGGTTACACATACGTATGTGCCCTCCTTTCATCTATTTAGATTGATTTGCTCCATTGACCCTTCATCCGGTTCTATAACCCCAAAAATTTTCCGCTTTTCCTTAGGGAGCTGACATAGTGATTTAGTAAGATGACTGAAAACAAGTAAAATACTTTAAAAAGAAGGATATTTGTAGATAATTCTACATGTTGTACCTTTAGGAGATGTTAGCTGATGTGCATGAAAAAGCAACTGCTATTTAAGGATGAACTTTTTATTGAAGCACAGTACACACAGCCACAACCTCACATCTGAACAGATAGATGGTGTATTTGCAAAAAAATGATTCCTCAGTACTGAACTCTCTGTGATCCCCACATACAGAAAAACACTATTATAACCTTCCCAATTAATTATTTAACCTTGAATCTTATTCTAATAGTCTAATTATAAGGAACTTTAAAAGAGCATAACTGTACTCCAGAAAACTGACTACTTATTTGATGAAAGGAAAAAATAATTTGTATGGAATTATATTGAAAATCATTTTATAAAATATAATTCAGCTAAGGTCACAGCTAGTGCATGTTTTCAGTCTTGCGTGTTCATTGCATCATGTTTTGCTAAATATAAAACACTTTACAAAATCCCTTTGTGACAGACTCCAGAGCATGTACTAAGTATGATGTCTGAGATCACTACCTCTGGCTCCTATTATGCCATTACATGGCTCTTGCAAACATAATTGTCTAGTATTAGAAATAGAATACAGGTCCTAAGGGGCAAATATAAATGGTCAGAATCAGGCATTAGAACCTGAACAGTAATGGACATGGAGGAAACAAGGATAGACTAAAATGTATGAAGCAGACTAACAAAATGTAGAGCTCCACTTTCACTGAGACATTTGATTCAACATATCTTATGAAAAATGTCCTGTTGTATGTGTGGAGTCCTCTGCATCTCCAACAATCTCATCTTTAAAACTAAAAGAAAATGTTGTTTTTTAATTCTTTTTTTTTTTATTCTAGTAAAAAATATAGATATATATATGTATCCATAGATAAAAAAAAATGTGTTAATCATAACAGACTAATAAATTGTTAGAGATAAAATTAAGAATACTGGTGCAAACATTTGCATTGACTTACATGTGGCAGCTTTTGATCAGTATTATAGGATTGCTTTTCCAAATAAAAAGTAACTTAAAAATCATACATTTCCATTACCTTTGTTAAATCAAATCTACTTATCTACTACAGTAAATTCTTCTAATCTGGTTTGTATTCTCATGATACAAAAGTTTTTTATTCTTCTTTATTTTTATTTTTTTTATTGAAGGTGTTATGCAAACCTTTCCCATGATAACCAAAGCTAAAATACTAGGTAAGCAAATCATGATATGAACCCACTTTTGAACAGCAGTCATTAAGACATTAACCAATTAAATATCAAAGGACAGTTCTATCAATAATTGTAGGTATATTTTTTGCTGAAACAGTTGAAACCACGTTTGTTCTCCCTTTATCATAAGCTTTTCCTGCTTTAGATCGGTCAGTATCAGCAAAATTATTATTTATTTATATATTTTATTATTATATTAGATTATATATTAAATTATTTTTATTATTTATATATTCATTTGCTTAATGAGAGAGAAAGATTTTGAGTTAAAAGGGAGATAAACTTTTGGTGTATTGTAAGGCAGCACCCTCTCCTGTGAGGTTTCAATAGTTATTTCCAGCTGAAAATACACAACGGAAATAAATTAAGAATAATTCCTTAATTATCAGTACTAAATTCAACCTTTCTCTACCAGTGTAAATATGCACAAACACTGCTTTTAGTATATTTGATTTGTTTTATCATCATGCAATGAAGCAAATCCTAGCACGGCTACCTGGACCGATATGCGCCATCATAAGTCAACCTGGCTGGACAGGCTACCTTCTTGAGCCACACCAAGTTTTTTAGTTTAAGAAAAGAAAAGATTAAGAAAAAAAAAGAAAAAAAAAATGAAATCCTAGGAGACACTTTGTATTTATCAAAAATATTTACTGCAGCAAACTAGTACTTAATCAGTTGAAAATGTTCCACAATGGTTAGATCCCCCCTTTTTTGGGTCAAATTGTTGAAAATTGCCCTCTATAGTGATGAGGATGCACTATGTGTGCCCTTTTGTTCTTTCCACCCCTATCCCTCAAAAAGCATGTGCACAGCACTGTTACCTAATATGTTTTTCAGCCACAAAAGATAATATGATAAATTATCTTTTCTTATATAGTATACAGTCAGACGATGCATTGTATCCACAGTTGCCCAGGAGCAGACTGCCAGAAGCAAGGCTGTCATAGGACGGTGACACCAGGGTCTGACCACCAGAAGCAGGCAAGGTGAGTGAATTTGTTGCTAACATCCAGAGATGGATTGAGCGAGCACAGGAAAAGGCAACCAACCTGTTACAAGACAAATTCCTGTACTACCTTCTGAGCCACAATCACCCCAGATTAGGTCTAAAAAAGTGCTGATTTCTGTACTAGGAATTGTTCTATACAGAGAAAGTACCTGAAATCAGACAAAAGCACTTGCAAATTGTTGTTGGAAAGATATGACTCTAGTTTCCAAAGATACCAGCCATGAGGGGCGAAGCAAGAACATATCTATGTCCTTGACCTGAAACATCATCTGTGTTTATAGTGCTGTAAAACCAAAGCTTTTTGCATTTTTCTTTTAATTTAGCAATAGGTTTTAAAAATATTAGAGTGTTTTCGAACATGGTTACGAAAAATGTCACCCTCTATGCCTGGTATCAGGCTTGTTTGGCGTATTACCCCATTTAAACTTCATTGAGAAACAAAATTTATCAGATAAGTCTACCTTATCCAGGAGTACGGACTCCAGCTGGCTAAACAAACCAAATGTCTGTTCAGACAACCATGTTCAAAAGTAGAGTACATGGGATTGCAATGTTCAGTTATCATGACATTGCGAAGCGAGACGGGTCCTTAATTCCAGGTAGGAAACTCTTTTTGTGAAAACAGTGTGAATTAATAGCAGAATGGGTAAAAGGGGTCTTGTAATAAGCCTATGTTATATGGCTTATTACATTTTATGTTTTACATTTTGATTTTGCTCTGTTATCCATGTAAGTACAATATTGCAAGTGTGTAAAGAGTAAACAAGCAACTAAAGGAGTAATGCAACTCCCAGCAGACGAGTGATAAGAAAAAAGTAAGATTTAAAGATTAAAAAGCAAACAAAAAACAAACTGACTGATTTTTACTGGAGCAGGAGCTTAACATGAAGATGCTGCCCAGTTCAATGATGTGGTGACAGTATAGAACCATTTTTATGTGAGCTAATTGCTAGTGGTGCAAAAATTAGTCTCACAAAGGACAAGGTAAACAGGTTAAGCGCTTTCTGTACATTCCTTTATTTCAAAACGAACATTAATTCCTAGTCAAGATGATGTTTCAGAGAGGAAAAGCCTACAAACGGAACATAAATGACTAATTCAATTTTATAAATGCAAACAAGGGAAAAGTAATACATTTTTAAACATCCTTTGATCAGGTCAATCTTTAATAGCAGCAGGGGAACCCTGGCCCCTTTCCACTTTACAAGGAGGGCATTCTGCTGAAATATAGAAGCAACATCACTAGAAATCATCCACAGTGTTTAAAAAGGGACTTCGTAAACTCAAAACTGAGATTTTGGATTACTGTTACAACACCCCCATAAAGGCAGAGGGCTAACATGTGCAATGATGCAGCCCAATAATCTAACTCAGTTAAATTGATTCTGTCAAGAAAATGGGTACATATTCTAACAAACTATTATGAAAATTGAAGTAGAGTAATCAAAATGCATGTGACCCTTGTATTCAAGACCACACCAACCGAGAACAAGGAGTACAGAGACTGAGACAAGGGTAAGATCTTATATAGTCTTGGCCTTGTCTCTGCACTCATTGGTCTCGGATGGTTTGGTCTTGACTACAACACTAGCAATTCTACCAACCACTCAGGAAATGTATGTAAACCTCTGACCTTGAAGATAATTCTGTAAAAGTCTTCTTGCTCATCAGGTAACGTACACGTAATTGTAAAATGAAAAAAGTAAAAATCATTTCACAAAATATTACGGTAATAAGAAATTTATATTGGTATTTAAAAGAAATGCCAATGTTGGGAACCCCCTCACTTGCTTAAAACAAGTAAAAAAAAAAATAAAAAAAATGAAGTTTGAGTTAATATCAGTTAAACAAAACGTTTTTTTCATTGCACATCTTTTTACAGACCACATAAACCTCTGGTTTCAACTAAAA